AAAATGATTATTTGGAATTAAACTAATCTACTTAGGCATTTCACAAGACTAGGCGTCTCCTAGTTAAGCTATGCCTTGTTCTAGGTTAGTGAAAACGGATATTAATAAACTCATTAGTGGGGTAAAATATTTTACTTGTGAAAGGAAATACAGGAATAGACCCACATGGGTACAGTACTTGTTAGAGGCTTCAATCAACAGCAGCCACAGCCGAAACTAATATCATGGATATTTTAAAGCACGACAGAGTTCCACACATTTTTTCCGCAAATTTATGAACCACTTTTAAAGATATTAATTAATTCTTTCACAATTAGACCAACGTAATTTTCTCTAGTATAAGTTACAAAGTGTTTTTTTTTTCAGCGTTCGTTACATTCTACCTATCAACTTCAATGACGACGTTCCTTTTTCTAAGGGTAGCTAACAAATGGCCAGCATTGATGAAGGACCTTGTGAACTCCTCTTTAGATAAATATATTGATTTAAAAGTTCAACCTCAAGTGATTTTCACGAGTGTACTTTTTCTCAGTTTAGCAATGTGTATGTATAATTCAGTAATAATATGTACTTATATTCAAACTAAATATTATTTACTCAGACAGAAGCTATGCCCCAGGTTCGCAATTCTATGGCGGGTGATCTTGTACTGAACAAGAAAGTGCCATTTTTTTTCCCAATTTTATTTTAAAAGGAGAAGTTGAACTAGAAAATGACTTCATTAATTGGGCTATAAAATCACTTTCCCTTAGAATATCAAATATAGAAAAACTGATAGTTTATTCGTTAATTAGTCTGATGCATGGTTTCAAGTTATGATACCATATGCCGAACACAAAAATGATGTTGATATTGAGATGTAATGATATTTTAACACCAGATGCCCATTTTGAGGTTGCAATAATGTCTCTTGTACTTATCTGTGGGGGTGAGATAGAAGTGGGCGTCCTAATCAGTAGCACTTACAGTAATTGTACTGTCAGTGTCAGTGATACTGACACTTAAATTCAGAATGATGTGTCAAAATTAAGCTCTTCTGTATGATCTATAACGCAGATCAATCAGGATTGATCTAGGAGTGGACAGACAACCACAGGATTTTCTAAAGAAATATTGAGAATTCAATTGTACGATTGCACAGTAATAAATTTGATCTGTTCATACGACAAAATTCCAATTAGGACAATACCCAAGGAATGTTAGATTGAGCTTGGTTTTTTGTAAGCTTTATGTTAAAATGATTACAAATTTCACATGTGGAACCGTGAAGAAATTCCAATTAGGACAATACCCGAGGAATGTAAGATTGAGCTTGGTTATTTGTAAGCTTTATGTTAAGATGATTACAAAGGACAATGTCCAGCCCCCATACATTTTTCGCCTAAGAACCTCTAAGCATGTACTATCACTTTTCGTGTTCTAAAGTATCTATATTTACGTCTAAATACATGTTTAAGTAACGGACACTTCTAAGAAATGTATAAATCAAAAAATATATTTTGGATTTGAGGTTATAATTTTAACAATTGTAGCGTGCGGTTACATTCTTTTTAATGTTTGTTTTACTTGCTTTTTGTAGGGAAATGTATATCTACTTTGCTTTAAATGCTGATTGTTGTTGTTTGCTTTAAAAGGTTCTGTAGGTTCTGTATCGGGAGCATGTACTTACCAATCTTGGAGTAACCCAGTGTTGTATACACTGAAGGATCTGCTCATCTTCTAATACCATGCAACCAGAAGCTGAACCGCAATTAACACAAAATACTTCAACACACCCAGATTCCATGTTAATGTCCGTTAAATAAATGCCAAGTCGTCGTCTATAGTAGGTCGGTATGCCGTAAATCACTGCCGGAGGTCGATATTATAAGACGAAATCAGTCCTTAGTTCAAGCCAAGTCGTTATTTTATAACTAATATTCACAAGACACAAGAAATCGTACAAACAAACTCAAGCGACGTAAACACAACGCGAGTATGAAAGCGATTGTCAAACAAAACTTCAAAAGTTCAAAATTGTCAAACGTATGTAAAAGAGCGCTTCCAGCCGCTTAAAAATCTACGAACGTTTTGAGTCTCGTTTTAATGTCAAGCGCTTTAAGTGTTCAATGGGTTGATTATACATCAAATTGTGCATAGATCCTGATTTGTCAACTTATTAAAATATGATGGCAGCGTTTATTGAAGTTTATCAAATGTATTGATATTACTTTTTAAAGTAATTACAAAAATGGGCAGTGTCCGTTTGATTTTAAAAGCTGATATATTAATCATAAAATATGATAAGAATTATGATATACAAGATATTCTTAGAGGTTCATAGGCTAATTTGGACATTGTCCTTTCACGTGTGTAACCATGAAGAAATTTACACCAGTGAATACAATCCATAATTATTTATAAAACAAATTAGTTTACAGTTAGATTACATCACAGATTGTACTTAAAGCTTATTTAAATAAACTTATTTAATAAATTCTTGATAATTAGAATGATTCAAGTAGCACAGCATCAGGTAATCTGCGTGCTAACTCCGCCGACTGTGAGAGATACGGAAACTAATGGATTATGTATTTTAGACATTATTGTTAATGTAATAAGACTGGATATTTACCCAAAGATACTGTTATCATACGAATATTTTAAAATAAAAACGACATCGTTAAATTCTAATTGGAGTGCTTTCTAATTGAAACTTGGCACAGATCACAAACTGAGTTAGTTAAAAAAAATGTGTAATTGATAAAAATACTGCAGACGTTAGCGACTAATGTAAATGTGAAATTCCTCAAGGTTTGCCAAATTTCTTTAAAATTAACCCATTAGAATATGACCAAATAAATTATATATTTTCGACTAACATTCATCAGTCTTTTTATGTCCTCACTGCAGGGGCTCAGACCTTTCTTAAGGAGGATGGTCCATAACCTTCCATACTGAACAAATGTGGATTGGAGGGTATTAACGACTGCAAATGCAGCTGGGATTTACGGCTTAACGTGCCTTTCGACGTTAGTACGTCCGTATGAAGCGCGCGGTGGATTCTTATTCTTCGCTTTCATTGGTCTATCATTGTTTTATTGACCAATGAGATGAGCCCGCAGAGATTGCCTAAAAATACTTGGTCTGACCATAATTACTGTTTTGAATTTCGAATCAGTCGTTTTTATATGATCGCATTGTTTATTGTCTTTTCTTATAAAAATGTACATTATAAAATATTTTTGTGATATTAAAATGGAGCGGGATAATAAAGAGAACCGCATAAAGTAGGTACGGAGCCAAACACAACTTTCAAAACCCTCTATACGCTTTTTATTAGGCAAATGTTTGTATACCGGGCTATTGGTAGGTACAATGAAACCTTCTCTGTTTGTAACGGAAAAATATGAAAAAAAAGCAATCAAAGCAGTAAGGGAAAGAATTCGAAGAAATCCTGTCCGAAAGCAAAAGATTTTATCTCGGGAGATGAAGATAGCACGTAGAACCATATCGAGTATTTTAAAAGATGGCTTAGGACTTACACCTTACAAGAGACACACTGGTCACTTCTTAACAGATAATTTAAAAGAAATAGGGTGGTAAAATCAAAACAATTACTTAAGCGGTACGCAAATGGAGGTCACAGAAAATTTTGACCAATATTGTAACAAACAAAGTGACCGTATTTATGTTCAATGCTCTAAAGAAGCTACATGATTAGTAAACAGAGTACAATGTGGGCATTATCCGACTTCAGCGATGGTTTTAGGGTGTTAGCTTATTTTAGTTATTTTTGTGAAAAAGGCATCAAACAGGAGTATATTAAGATACCATTCTCGAGAATGTTGTTAAGCCTCTTAACAACTCCATGTTCAATAATCAAGAATGGTCTTTTCAGCAAGACTTGGCGACCAATATTGCTTAAAAACGAACGTTCCGGACTTCATCAGAGCTCTTAATCCACTGGATTATGATTTATGGTCAGTTGTAGAGAGTATAGCTTGCTCTTAACGCCATGATAAGTTGGAATACCTAAAACAATCCATACGATTGGCAGTTTAGAATTTTTAGGATTGTTTTATTGCAGCCAATGGAGACTACTTCGAATAAGCTATATATATATATATTTAATGGCTCTATATTAATATATTAAACAATAAATATTTCGACGCGATCAACAGTTTTGATTGATATATGTGTTTGTTTACAGTGGAGCATTTACTGTCACTTAATACTAAATACGCTGAAGTACGCATGAGCTCAAACGATAACGAAACGACATACAAACATTTCATAGATTTGTCTTTCCCCTGGTATAGTGAATTAGATTTGCCGTTTCACATTTCAACTGGGATATTTTTGCAGGTAAGTCTATTTTGCAATTTATAGAGTCATCTAATATATCCACTGTTGGGGCTCAGGCTTTACCTATGGATGGAATCGAATCGAATGGGAAGAATCTGCCATGACTTATCACTGGGGCCCCTTGTGGGTAATAACAATTGCACATGCAACCGGAAGCAGCAGCTTAACTTGCCTTCTGAAGCACGGAGGAGTTCGAGATAGCAAATTTTTTGTCACCGGCCATTGCAAAAGTTGCATAACAACTGTATCGCAAAACGAGCGCGACAGCAACTACCTATCCAATTCCTCTTATCTTGTTATCAAGTTTTTCTGATTTATCTACTGTAAGTGATTTATCTAGATTCGATCGCAAAGTTAGTTACTCCACCTTATAATTAACTACGACCCTATTCGATATCATTGTATACTTTTAATTAGTCACAGTTTAAAAGCTGGAACTTGGTTATAGGCGATCGTCTAACAATTTTAATTGTATTATTTTGACATTATTCCAGCGGTTCGAGATCGGATCGATAAAGAACTGCGATTGATATTAACGTGATACGGCTCTTAAAATAAATGTCAATCATAAGACCAAGATTATTGTTTTGTTTCAGTTCGTGAATTTCTGCACAACTATCAATTGGAGTTATTCTGACGTATTCATAGTGTGCATGAGTAATTATTTAGAAGCTATAATAAGACAGATCAATAAAACCATCGTGGATGCAGAACAAAAGGTCAGTTTTAATATAACTTGAATTGATTTCTCTTTACATGTGAATGATGATAAAAATAATAATATCTCTTTAAGAAGCTGCTAATAGAAAGACAGTACATTACCATTACAAACATAATAGGTATATACATATTAGTTTGTCAATTGACAAAGCTCATGGAAACTTGTTTAAAACCAAATACTACTGAGAAAAGAAAGAAGAATAATAATACTTACAGTATTATTTGATGTAGGCACACTTGTTTCGCTGTCTAACAAATCTAAAAAGAGTGCAATGATTTTTTAGTAGTAAAAATAGTGATAGTGGAATAGAAATAACATTGTTTTAAAACCAGAAAGCAAACTGATTGGTTATAAATATTCCTGAATGTGGTTGCCATAATATTAAGCGCTACGATGACGCTCTCTTTTTCTTAATATGCTAGTCCAATCGATCGCTAGAATGATTTTTTCGGGTTGATTTTTTACACCTTGTGTCCGCAAAACACAAATATCTTACGGAACCCTATTTTTTTTCAAAATAAAGTATAGCCTATGTTTCTCGTGGATAATGTACCTTTCAAATGGTGAAAGAATTTTTAAAATCAGTCCAGTAGTTTTTGAGATTATTTATTACACGCAAACAAAGTTTTCCTCTTTATAATATACTAGCTTTCGCCAGCGGCTTCGCCCGCGTGGACCCTAGGGAAATGTTTAGTGGCATAAAAAGTATTATATTGTCTAAGTCAGCTAACACCCTATCTGTATACCAAATTTCATCAAAATCAGTAGTTTCGGCGTGATTGGCGTACAAACATCCAAACATCTAAACATCCAAACAAAGAAACTTTCACATTAGATAGATATTCATATAGGCCCTTTCCCAATAATGTTCTTTATTTTTAACTCAACATCATTATCATTGGTTTTTTTTTTGCAGTATTATCAGCCGTCCTTCTGGAGTTCATTACGTGTTGATTATACTAGAGCTACTCGTTTAGTCATCTCCTTTGACAACGCAATCAGCGGAATCGTGTTCCTATCGTTTGCCACCAATTTGTTCTTCATTTGTTTACAGTTGTTCTATATTTTCTCGTGAGTAATTTTATAATAATTTTTATTTTTAAACATTATCATTAATATAAAATTTTGTGCGCAAGCGCATGGATAGTATGTCGAAACCATTTTTATATCATATTTGTATACATTCACAGCCATGGAGTGCGAGGAAACACTATTATGGTTAGCTATAAAGGCCATGACGTGGCTGGGTGAGTATCAGCATAGATTTTTAAACTTTGAAATTAGTAAGCTTCCATAAAAACTTAAAAAGCACACTAAAATAAATTTGGAAAAAAAGTGAAAAAAGATCATTTCATATATTCGTAGCATTATATAATTTTTTTTAATATAGTACCATAATTAACATATTCTACAAACATAGTTTATGTACATACAAGGATTGGTTTCCCGCGACTTCGAATTGTAGCCTATGCTACTCGCGTACGATGTAGCTATTTTAAAATCGTAAATAATTTTAAAATCGGTCCAGTAATTTCGGAGCTTGTCAAATCTATCTGCATTATAATATTTGTATAGACAATATTTTTATGGAATTTTAAATTTAATTCTTATAATCTGATGGTGGAGCTGTAGGATAGTCATGAGACGTCTGTAATTAAACGAAGCCACTTTATCGATTTTGGGTTTGTTTTATTTGTGTCGGCAATTACCTTATTTTGCGATATATCCAAGGTCCGATAGTAATATAAGGTCATTGCTAGTCTCAAGCCGCTTACAAGAAAATGCATGCAAGTTCTCTGGTGCTTGCGCAATGAGCATTCTAAGTGAATGTAGTAGATTTAACGACTTTTTAACTGACTTCAATAAAGATTTCTTAAAAAATATATTTGATAAAGTTTTTATGATTCTTAACACTTTCAAATCGCCATTGTTATTAGAAACTTTTATATTTTCATTTTTTTATTGTCTCCAGAATATTCGGTGGTTACGAGCCGCTGGTTTACTTCATATTTTCTTTCGCGTTCGTGCTTTGTCGTTTCTTGGCGGTGTCCCTTAAAGCTGCTAACATTCATTCAGCATCTTTAGCTATTGGACCTTCTTTATACAACTTACCATCGACAGTTTACTGTAATGAGGTATGTACATTTCTTACTATCCAAAAATTAATAAAACAGTTTATTGGTTAAAGTGGTTTTGGTAACTCAGGTGTACTCAACTCCTGTGACCTGAGCCTTTTTGGTCTCTGACCAGAAAGGCTCAGGTCACACTTTTTAGAGGGGATGACGGTGACTCGGCTACTATTTTCCAGGGTCTCCCTCTCCTAATGAAAAATATATTTGGAGGTAAAAATATATAGGTAAAAATATAGATAAAAATATATAGGTAAAAATATATAGGGTTTTTAGTGGGTATACCTCTGAACCATTGGACTGAAAAATGAAACTAGTCCTCGAATTAGTTCTAGGCGACAAAGTAGAGCCTGATGTATTTCCCTGGAAAATAAAGGGTGTATAATAAGGATTCGTGTCTTTACAATAATTCAAATTTCATTTTGTATTGATATTGTTATTTATTATTTATATAATTTTAATGAAAAAGTTACGGCCTGCCGATCACGATGGAAAATTAAAATAAACGTCTCTTTCATGGACAGTTTAGTAGAGTGAGCCTAGTTATACATTATTGTATTTTCTTCCTATTTTAACACGTGCATTGCTAAGCCAAAATCTTGGACTTAGACGAATGTCGTGTGATACGGTGACGAATGATGTGGAACAAAACAACAGTTGTTAATAGGTAATTGGTAAATACTCTTACTAATAACCTATTGTATTTACAACAGCTTATAACAAGCATAATTGAATAAAGACATTTTCATTTCATTTCATTTCACAGTTGTATGGGTATTAACGAATATGATACGTTTTTAATGAGCTTTCCAAAATTACATTGGAAGAAGATGAGATTGGGTGAGTTTTAAATTTCGTTTTCTTTGCCAGATACAAAGGTTCATTGAACAAGTTCACGGTAGTACGGTGACTTTGAGTGGACTACAATTCTTTCATGTCACCAAGAGTTTGATTCTGACTGTGAGTAATTAATTTAAAATATTTCCATAAGTAAAGTGAGCCATAAATTTATCTTAGGTTGGCTAGATCGATGGGTGCTAGCACTGCGTATGCAGTAATGATCGAAGTAATTGATGTCTTAATGATTTCCAATCGTGGAGTTCTTTTTTTTTTTAATAAAAACATTGATTTCCCTCCACAAAATACATTAATAAATATACATAAAGTTGCAACACCAAAATTTTATAAATTTAACAAAGTAATGTTTTTTTGGGAGACTGTCATACTCTTACACTATAAAGGTTAAGTTCTAGATAATATAAGTCACCCGCCTGACGTTTAGGCCTTGAAAAATTCGTTTAGTAAACTCAATCATACACCAAACTAACCATGTAGGCAGATGGTCTATTACAAAATCAGAGTCGCGTCAGTAGGACAATATACAGCTTGAAAACTTATTCCTGAGCTAAAACGAATAGATTATTGTACTATTATTATGACTGCTTACCACGTATATTCTTAGATTTTTATATACACATAGCTAATTTATTTAAATATTACAGGTCGCTGGAACCATTGTGACGTATGAGTTAGTATTGTTGCAGTTCAACGGTGAATAGAAATGTAATGTGACGTCACTACACTGATATCAAAGTGCATAAATATTGTGTGACTTCTTTTGTATATGGATATTTCCATATTGTCATTTACGATAATTCGGGTACCCACAAAATTTATGGCTGAAATCATCCAGCTACACCAGACTGCAGTCCCGACATTGATAAAGTTTAAGTAGCGACGGAAGAGTACACAAGTCGAAGTGTCGCCAAGAAACTAATGAATATTGCTAACTGACAGTTGCACTCGGTACGTGCCTAATAAATAACATTACACTTAACTGAAGAGACTTGCAATAATCATTCGATTACGATCGCTATAAGTTAGAGACCGAACCCCGCTATGATTGCGATCGCAAACTCTGTCGAGACTGCCCCTGTTTAATCAGAATGTTCCTAGTGACTTTACTTCGGTGATGATATCTTGCAAGTTGATAGAACAAGAACAATAGTTGACACACTATAAAGTGAAATCAATCACGTCCATAATCCGTTCATGTAAAAATTGTAGTATTGACAAAGGGTACCTTTATAAGTATTTAATATTTTCAAGTATTTCAATAATGTACACGTGCAGAATGTCATAATTTGAAATATTGCTACTGACCTATATTCAATAAAAGCCGCATGGCATTTCACCTTATAAACTTTTCTTCAAATTTTCTACTGCTTGTAAAGATGAATCGCGCTGCCAAGATGTGGAAATCCCTTCCTGCGTTTATGTTTCAGAATAAAATGAATGAGATTCATCTGGGCAAGTTTACCTATCTCCTAAAGCTGAATTGAAATCAAGAGAATGAACAAATATGTAATAGAATAAATAAAAACATCGATATTAAGTGAATAGTATTTTATGAGTTGTTATTTAATCTAACGAAATTGTAAAACTTATACTGTTACCTAGCTAGTTTTGTGGCCATAAAGTGGGTTACGATAAAATATAAGTGATATTGAAGAATAACAAGCTTAGTGTTGAAAATACAAACCGAAATGTTTGCGGTGTTTGTTTGGTTGTATTGCTACACTTATATTTCAGGTAGCTAAAGTAGTACAGTATTATTTATTTATTTATTTCAAATCAACAGCGTTAGAAAGGTTTATATATAGACATAATAACACAAGTAAGGCCAATAACAGGTTACATGCGTGTATTATTACAAAAATAGTATTATAATTTAATAGAATAATAAAGTACTCGAGATATGAAGACTGTGAAATTTCTCTTGGCATTTTTTATACAGCCATAGGAAACATTTTTTAATATAGAAATTAAAAATTAAGGCTATTTATTGAGATTAAAAAAAAATATTATAGAAAGAACTTACCACATAATAGATTTGAATGGTCTGAAATGCACGAGTTGCATGACAAACTCGAGAATCGCTTTGTCTACACAAAATGTCACTTTCTAGTCGAAAGTGAGATATCGGATGAGCGAGAAAAGTGACATTTGTGTGTAGACATGTTTTGAAGTTCGTTATGCTTTGCATACAAAAAGTAACTTTTAAATGTTTTGCATTACTACAACAATTGTGTTATGTAATACATATTATATAAAATTTAGTTTTTAAAAATATTAATAGAACAAATGATAAATTTAATTACGCCAAAAGAACATAATTTTCTTATGAAAGCGTTACTTTTAGACAGCTGTACGGAATAGAAACAGAGAATTTACTGAATATAATATAAAATTAATGTATTTGAAAGAAAAGAATGTTGCTAATCAATTAATTAGAAGATTAATTAAGTAAAAGATTATGAGATGAGTATTATAAAACTAAAAATATTGCCTAATTCTTTTCAAATCTACGTAGGTACCTATGTTCCAAAAATAATTATAAAACATCTCGTTGAAGTGTAATCTAAAAGTATCTTAAACTCATCTCAATAATACTATTAATCCGAACAAAAAACGTTTCAAGTGATGGACTTCTCTGGAGCTTTTATATTCTCTTTTTGAGCAATCAAATATTCACAATATTCTGATTGTACACTTTATATTTTCTGAAGGTAAAACTAAGCTTTTACAGGGATTACTCAAAAATGTGGAAATTATCAGGATAACTTAAACTTGAAATAATGGAAAATACGTTTTGAATTTTCTCCACTTTTTAAAATATGTTGATTAAACAAATAATATTGATTTATGGTTCATAATTAAAGATTAACTTCACTGTCCTCTTACGTAGCTTTCAATTATTATTTAATACACCAACAGTATCTGTATCAATTTAGAAATTGTTTCCTAAAGTGTCATTAAAAATATCCGCCCACACAATCAACAAGTAACTAAAACAGTTGCGAGTCGGAGTCGTGCACGAAGGGTCCGGTACTATTACCAATAAAAAAAAAATGTAAAAAATTACGTTTGTTTAATGGGAGATATTCTGTTTTAGTATGTATTTCAACTGTCACAGTTCCTGAGATTAGTGAGTCTTAGCACTAATCCCGTTTTTAATATTTGTCACCCAAAGTGTATCTAAGGTTTTGGGTATGGAACCCCAATAAGGTCGTTCACGTGTTAGATACAAATACAAATTATTTTATTCTGCAAGTAACATGGTAATAATACATTCGATCTTAATATTAGTTCATAACCGCTACTTATTACACCAATTTATTTTTAATATTTGTCACCCAAAGTGTATCTAAGGTTTTGGGTATGGAACCCCAATAAGGTCGTTCACGTGTTAGATACAAATACAAATTATTTTATTCTGCAAGTAACATGGTAATAATACATTCGATCTTAATATTAGTTCATAACCGCTACTTATTACACCAATTTTAGGCACGCAGAATATAGAAGAGCTGATCTTGTTTACCCAAAAAAATAATTATATAATAAATTTTGATCATAAGAATATTTTCCAGTACATTGTGAATGCAAAATTCATCAAATATAATCATTTGAACAAATATTTCTTTCGGCTGTTTGGGTGGATTGCCTGAACATTGATGAGAATACGCTCTGTAGTAGCGAAAAAGTGACAAGTGCTTGAAAAATTCGTCAGCCCTGTTAGGTTCTGGGTAGCTCAGTGGTAAGAGCAGTCGACCAGAATGCGAAAGGTCATGGGTTGGAGTCTCATCTCAGAGTGCCAGGGACAAAGTGGATTTTTCAAGCATTTTTTGATTAAGAATATTATTTTTTTAATTTATTTTCTTTCTCTAGGTGTAGGATCAATAATGAAAACTGGCTCACAGATACCACTTGTCTCACTGAAGCACCCTTTCCACGACTTGTGTAATAATGTTTGCGTGGACTTACCCCAGAATGATATGGAACCTGTATGCATGATGTTTAGTAGATACAAAAAAGGATATCAATATTTCGTTAACCTGTGTCACGCTAGACGTTCTATTTGTAAACATAACATAGGTAAAGCATTACATATATATTAATATTACAAGGAGTATGTACCTCGGTGAGGTATTGGGTAAAATCGTTGTTGTTAAGCAACTTTAGCAAGAGTCTGCCACGGGATGGGTGACCAAAAAATATTGTATCGAGCTACTCCGTGTTTCGGAAGACACGTTAAAACGTTGGCTGCATTTGAAGACATTAATACCTTCAATGCCACATTGGGCGTGGACGGTAATGGCCTATCCTTTTAAACCATCCATAAGTAAGACCAGAGCATCTGCAATGGAGACTTAAAAGGATGGTGATGATGATTATAGATGATTATAACTTTACCACTTGGTAGTAAGGTGTTTTTCTTCACAAATATTGATTTGATGATGAAAATTCTGTCATCTACGTGAAACTTAATCGTACGCGGATGACCTAGGTCATAATTTATGAGGGCGAAATAGCGGGAAAATACTAAGAAGTTATAAATGCACCGAGTGTGAGCCTCTGAATTGACTTTTATACGTTTTTATTCTTATCAATTTTCTCTCGTAAAGGTGATTGTTAAAATGAAACTCACTTAAATCACCGAAAATGAAATAGTGAAAACGAGCTATAGCCCACAACACAGGTTTGGTGAATGTTGACGGCTGTGAAAGCAACCGGGACCAACGGCTCAATTTGTCATCCAACACGGAGAAGCAACAAGAACAAGGAAAGACATATTAAATTTTGGTCACCCATGCTATTATTAACCTAGAGAAAGTTGCATAACCTCTTATTGTAGACAGAATGCGCTAACCTCTAGTAGTTTAGTCCATCGATTTCCTAAGTGGACTTATTAACAGATAATAAAAAATGAAACATAGCAAAAAAAATATACCTTTCGAAATTGATTATATTTACTCGAAATCTAACTTGTGTACCTACTGCCAGAATTAATATGTGAACTCATTATTATATTGTAAGATCCACTCTAGATTAGTTATAAAAAAAGGTTTTATTTAACCCACAAAGAGTCTCTTCATTGTCATCAAATTATTTTTAGTGTTCAAAGCACAATGAAATTGTAATCCTTACCTTGAGAGCAGTCCTCCCACGGTGCTTCGACGCAGAAAAGTACTTAAAAGCGCTGACTTTGAGCTACTTGAAAATGTATTAACCGCACTTTTTAAAGTGCCCTTTTGTTTTTTTAATAACGCTTTCTTATTCAAAAAGTCGAGTCAGCAAAGTTCTTTGAAAAGCACTCTAACTCTTTGATAAGTCTGAAGATCTTTATCTTCACTAAATGGAGGTATTTTCGAAACTGATTGAACCGATGCAACTTTAAAAGATTAAACATTTTTGCCGGGCAAACTCACAACTGGATTTATTGTAAAAGCTGGCAGTGTACTATGAATTACTACATAATCGTAATTATGATAATTGGACTGTCAGTCATTCTTAATTTTGACCTAATAAGGTAGCCCTTGATCCAAAAAAAATATACAATTGAAAAATAATTGTTTTCGTTTTTTATTCATACAAAGAAGTGCCATTACAAAATTTCTTAGTAAATATATGAATTCTCCATGGCGGTAAAGCTGATACTATTAACTTATTAATATTATTGTAAATACTTATTCATTCAAGTTTAGCTAATTATTTT